GAACTTTGCAGTTTTGCAGGAGTGCGTGAGATTTACATGCAGAACAGCTTTGAACAAAGCAGTTTTTGCAACACTGGGCATGAGATTTGTGTGAGTTTTCAATGAGCTCAGTTTTTTGGGCGAGGAAGGAGGCTGCCCAAGCTGAACAAGTTGCAAGATGGAATGGGCCTGGTGCTTTTTTGAACAACATCATTTTGCAGTTTTGACAACACACCCAAACAGGACCCAGAAAAGTATTTGGGACCCAAACCAAACGACTTTATTTAGGACCCATTGACTAATCTGTCCGGGCCGCCCAGAAAACTTCATTTGGAGACCAATTACCAATCCTAGGTTAACATTATCAGTATCAGGTTTTAGACTAGGTGCCTTTGGCCGAAATCCAAGTGCGCAAGCGTGAGCAAATTGAAACTTGATGGGGCGACACTTGGGAACGTGGAAGGAACAAGGCAGAAGCGTGTGGGCGGGGCCACTTTCGCAGAGCTTTCACGGGCCGATTACGTTTCCAGCGTGGCAAGGGTCTCCCCTGCCCAAGCCCGACTTACTGTCACGCGTACAAAAAGCACAAAGATCAACAGTTGCAAACGATAATTATTTCCTCACAAATACTACTTGCAAAGACCGCCGTGACTGTTCCGTGTCTCGGCCTTGCTCGGGTTCACCGGCTGCGCGGTCAGGAAGGCGCAAATGGACGTCGTGAGCATCGCTTCCAGAAAGAGGGCCACCTTGCCGACTTGCTTGAGTGATGCATCGCAGCACGCAACGGAATACTCGAAACACTCACAAAAGAGTTGGGACCAGTTGGGAGTCGAGGGGCCCAGATCTCAAAGTCCAAGCCTGTCTTCAAGGACATGCGCCCTGTGCAGCCTCGGCTGGGAACAGATTATTCGAATGCCAGGGCCTCTGGCTCACTCCGCGCGCCTGAGAAGACCGCGGCTGCGTACATCGCCGACGAGAGCAACGTCTGGTAGACGACGAAGCGCATCTTGGCAGAGCTTAAGAGCATCGGCGCCCTCGAGAACTACATGAAGGATGGGGCGGCCAAGGCGCGTCATCCGTGGTGTAGAGGCCAGCCAAGCGGGAACGAAAGCTTTCCTGCCAAGATTTGCCAAACCCACGGTCACAGTGCAGCGAACAAATTCAACACTCCCTCGTTTAACCACGAGTGACCCGAGTTGGTTGGTAAAATCCTGGAAGCGCCGGAGGTAGGCACAGCAAATCGAGTTCCTCGCGGGGAACCAGAAAAGGTGTTCGAGAGACCGAGGATCCGAGGGTCCATGCGTCACGCGGGGCCAGGCCGTAAAACCGGGGGAAAGCACCAAAAGGGAAGCAGAATCCCCCCTGCCTTAGTGCAAGGGACGTAGGGGGGGGCATTCTATTTTACAAGCGACGTAGGGGGGGGGCATTTTCCCCGAAAGCATCGCGAAGGGTTCATTGGAAAAAAGGTTGCCGGCTACACAGCCTGAGTTACGCAGCCTGACTTACGCAGCCTGACTTACGCAGCCTCACTTACGCAGCCTAGCTCACGCAGCCTGACTTACACAGCCTAGCCTACACAGCCGAAGCTCGCAGCCTTTAATTCTATCTTCTTTCTTAGCCGGGGGCGGGTCTGGCGGGCGCTGGGGGGATGAACCCGCTGCGGGGATCGTGCGTGTCGGAGCGCTCTCGCTGTGGCGCCGTGCGAATTTTCTACGTCGCCGATGAACCCTCTGCGGAGATTGCGCCTGTCGAATCGCTCTCGCTGTGGCGCCGAGGGGAATTTCACCGCTGGCAGACGAACCCTCTGCGGAGATTGCGCGTGTCGGAACGCTCTCGCTGTGGCGCCGTGCGAATTTTCTACGTGGCCGACGAACCCTCTGCGCAGATTGTGCCTGTCGGAGCGCTCTCGCTGTGGCGCCGTGCGAATCTCAAAGCTCGCCGACGAACCCTCTGCGGAGATTGTGCGTGTCGGAGCGCACTCGCTGTGGCGCCGTGCGAATCTCAAAGCTCGCCGACGAGCCCTCTGCGGAGATTGTGCGTGTCGGATCGCTCTCGCTGTGGTTTTCGTAAAATTTAAGTACAAAAGAATAGTACGCGAAGCACGCTCCCGCAGCTCCGGCCTGAGAATCGCAAATTTCAAGTAGAAAAGTAGTACGCGAAGTACACTCCCGCAGCTCCGGCTTGCAAGAAAAGGAGAGAAAGAGACAGAAAGAGAAAGAGAAAGAGAAAAGGAAGGAGAGACAGGGGAAGAGAAAGAGAGAGAGAGAGAGAGAGAAAGAAAGAAAGAGAAAGAGAAAGAGAAAGAGAAAGAGAAAGAGAAAGAGAAAGAGAAAGAGAAAGAGAAAAATAAGCTCAGGTGATATCCCCAACAGCATGCGACGCTCTTTTTCGGCCCGCAAACGCACTCCGGTCGGGGCCTGGTGGCTCTGCCGGCCCCCGGTCGCGCCGCCGTGCTCCGGTTGCGCACTATCGTGCTCCGGTGGGGCCCCGGTTGCTCCATCGAGCCGGCAGTGCCGCTACCGCGGCCCGTTGGCGGCACCGACCCGGCGTGGCCCAGCTGCGCCTATGGTTAAGGCGGCGCTGAAAGCAAAACCGGCGGCGCGCCACCGGGCCCCGCTCGGGGCCCGCCTACACCATCGGGCCCCGGTTGGGCCGGCTTCGATCGGGGCCCGACGACGCACACTCCAAACCACCAATCCCAGCCACCCTGCTTAGGATGCACCTTACAACTGTGTAAAGCAAAGCTGGGCGACGCCAGCTTGATACAACCTGACGGGCCCGACAGAGGCTCGACGGTGCAATCGGGCCCCGACCGGGCCCCGACAGTGCAATCGGGCCTCAATCGGGCCCCGGCCCGACCAAGGCTCGATGGTGCAAGCGGGCCCCGAGGCCAACCAATCCCAGCCACCCATTGCTCACTGCCGGCTTTTTGTTTAGGATGCCGGCAAATAAATGTACAAAGCAAAGATGGGCCCCCCGATCGGCGCACGACCGGGGCCCGATGGTGCAAGCGCCTCAGGGCCCCGCGCCACCCCGCAGTCCTGGTGGAACTCTGGTGGAACCCTGCCTGGTGGAACCCTGGACCCCGCAGCCCTCCAGAACCTGGTGGAACCCTGCTGGTGGAACCCTCGTGGAACCTTACCTCAGGGCCGCCCCGGAGCACACTTGAGGGGTGTCCCAGAACCTCGTGGAACCCTGGAACCCTGGTGTGGAACGCTGGTGGAACCCGCCCCGGACCACCCCGCAGCCCTTGCAGAACCTCGTGGAACGCTGGTGGAACCCTGGTGGAACCCTGGTGGAACCCTCGTGGAACCTTACCTCGGGGCCGCCCCGGACCACCCCGGAGCCTATCTGGGCTGAGACCCCAAAGCTTTCAGCTGTTGGGGAATAAAGAAAAAAGAAAGTAAAAAGAAAGAGAAAGAGAAAAAGAAAGATAATGAGAAAGAGAAGGAGCAAGAGAAAGAGAAAGAGAAAGAGAAAGAGAAAGAGAGAGAGAGAGAGAGAGCCACAAAGAAAGACAAAGAGAACGAGAAAGAGAGAGAGAGAGAGAGAAACAAAAAAGAAAGACAAAGAGAAAGAGAAAGAGAAAGAGAAGGAGCCATAGAAAGAGAAAGAGAAAGAGAGAGAGAGCAAGAGAGATGTCAAATATCATGCTGTACTACTTGCCCCTTGTACATGCATGATGTACACTACCCGACCGCAGGCCTTGAGTCTACAAGCAAAAGAGCGCATGCTGGGAAACTACATTTGTGTTTGTGACAGCATAAACAACACTTGCACTTGTAGCAAACTATCGACGTATTTTAACGTGGTAGCGGAGCTGAGATCCTAAACATAGGGGAGCTCCAGTAACAGCAGTAAGTACTACAACTGCACAGGCAACCACATGCCCAACTACTACGACATGTCAGGAGAACCAGCAGCAGCATCAGCGCAACCAACTACAGGAGCAGACAACGGGCCCACAGCAGAGAGACAATAGGAGCCACAACTACGGGAACAACACAGGAGCAGGAAGACGTCCAAAGGCTACACAAATACAAACTGCCACCACCGTTCTTCACTGGTGACTACTCACAGTACGAAGAGTGGCTGTTCAAACTACAAGCATACCTCGGACTCATCGACCGAGACTTCGACATGGTACTACAACTAGCACAAGCAGCTACGAGACAAATTGAAGATGCAGACATCAGAGCCCACATACGCGACCCTACACAGGCAGCAAAAGCAGTAGACCTCTCACAAGATCTACACTACATCCTCATCAACATCTGCCAAGGTGCAGCAGCTACAGTGGTCAGACAAAACCGCTACAATGCCAATGGATGTGAAACACTACGGCTTTTGCACAACAGGTTCAGCCTACCAGTAGGAACACGCAGTGTTGGCTACCTCACCAAACTACTGGAACCTACATTCAATGAAGCACAACTTGAAGAACAATTCCTACAGTGGGAGTATGACATCAACCGCTACGAGAAAGACAACGGCACAGCACTACCGCAATACTACTCAACAAGACCAAAGGAGCACTTCAACAACATCTCCAACTACGTGCTGGACAGATCACGAACTACAACGAGATCAGAGTTGTCATCCTGGACTACTACAAGACCATATCTGCATTCTCAAGAGCGAGCTCAGCGGTTGGCACAAACTACAATGGTGGAACAGCACCCATGGACGTGGACAACATTTGGAGGAAAGGAAGAAACTACAAAGGCAAAAGCAAATATGGAGGCAAAGGATCCTACAAAGGAAACAAAGGAAAAGGCAAGTACAGAAACAAAGGCCACTACAAAGGATTCGACAAAGGCAGCAAAGGAAACTACAACAAAGGAGGATACAACAAGAGCAAAGGAAAATGCTACTCAGGATCCAAAGGATATGGATCAAGCAAAGGCTACAAAGGCCAAGGAAACTACAGCAAATCAAAAGGAAAAGGAAACAACAACTACACAACATGCCATCGATGTGGCAAGCCTGGCCACTGGGCACAAGACTGCAGAGTGCCAGTATGGCACATAGGAGAAGGAGAAGAACTACATCCACTAGAACAAGAACAAGCAGACCATGACAACAATGAAGAACTACCTCAGGATGTGAACGACACTTGGGACTGGTACTACGAAGGAGAAGAAGGACAACACGAGGTGAACTACATGGAGGAGAGCTGGAACGACTACGACTATGACAACAGCTGGGATTGGAATGACAACAGCTATGAGGACACAGCAAACTACATTGGAGGCATCAACGAGTCACACCTCACCATTGGACACATCAGACAAGCAAAGTCACGACTACACAAGCACAAATCCAAATCACTACTTGGCAAGAGAACAACACACACACAACATCATGGAACGACCACAGCAAGAGCTTTCAACAATTCCTACAAGAAGACACCACAAAGCTACACTTCGACATAGCAGCAGCAAGACAACAACAAAGGAACAAGAAGATTGAGGACACTATCACCCACTACATCATGTACTCCAACTTCAAGTCATACCACCACCTGTTGATCGACTCAGGAGCATCTACACATGTTTGCCCAAAGGACTACGCACCGGATCTTCCACTACGACCTTGTGGAGAATCAGTTCCACAACTCTACACGGTTACCAACAAGAAGATTCCTGTCTACGGCATCAAGTACGTTCCCTACAAGCAGGACAACTTCAGGATCATGATACCCTACTACGTTTGTGATGTGAAGTATCCCAATCCTCAGTGCATCAAGACTACTTGATAGAGGATATGGACTTGACTTCACTCCACGACACTGCACCATCACACATGGACAACAACAAGCACACCTCATAAGACACTCAGGACTTTTCTACCTACGAGCAGAGAAGATCGACATCCCTACAGGATTCGACATCTACCCAATGACTACAGACAATGGAAAATCCATTGCTGTGATTCAACCTACAGAGAGAGCAGTACAACAACAAGAACAAATCGCACCACTCACACACACAGACCAAGGACTACGACAGATCCTTGGTGGAAACACTGACTACTGGAAACTTGATGGTGACTACGCCATCAGAGTACACAAGCGACCACGCAAAGCACTGTTCACACCACACAACAGTGGCTGCCCAATACCAGAAGGAGAACTAGATGATTGGCGACTAACCATCATCAACAGACAAGGGCAAGAGCAAGAACAACTACAAGAGAACCCAACACAACTTTCCAAGCAAGAACTACAACGAAGACTAGAAGGTGAC